GTGTGTGTGTGTGTGTGTCGGTCTCTGCCCTTCTTTGAGATTGAACTTGGTAGATGGGTCACAACGGTGACGAGGAGAGGAGAGGAGTTTGCTTTGCCCTGCTAGGCTAATGGCAGCTCACAAGTCGAGACTAGAAACCGAAAGGCGTGAGAATTTGGCCATTTCTTATTGGTTTGGCTCAGAAAACTCCAAACTCGCTGCCATCGAGTTGTAGCAACGGAGAAGAAACCCTGCTTATGTAAATTCTGGATGGAATAATCCTTCCCTCCTTCCTTTTTTTCTCTCTCTCTTTTTTCTTTTAAATATGGGAGGGGTAGGACAGGACCAGGAACTCCAATTTCAAAGTTGGAGAAACAAAAGGCATTCTTTTTCTCGTGTGGTGGCCTGACCCCTGTCCCCATGCCCTTTCACGTCCTGACACATTGCTAATCTTGCCCTCTCCTGTACAGCTGGAAGGGGCAAGGATTGTAGGCAGTTTTCTCCTGAGAGATGGGGACCCAACTTTCCTGCGAGATGGGAAATACACTTCTCACCCTAAAAATAGAAGCTGGGGAGAGCCTTTCAAAGGAGGGGGTGGGGAGCAGTCAGTCAACAAGCACACTATTTTGGATGCCCGGGGCATTGTCTGCTTATCCACAAGTCGAGGCTAACCACCTTTTAAGCACACTGCCACTGTCCTGGTGGAGTGAGTCCCTGCTGCCCCATAGCGACCCTGGGGCTTTCCGAGACTGTCACTCTTTAAGGAGTAGAAAGCCTCGTTTGTCTTCCTCGGAGGGTTAGGGGATGGCAGATTTAATAGTCATCATTGGGGGTCCATTTTGAGCCATAGGTTCCTTTTATAGCTAGTCTCTGACAAGGTTTGTTTGTTTGTTTTGGAGGGAGGAGTACAATAAGTGTTCAATTTTTCCCCCCACCTGTAAGAGTGACCTTTTCTTCAAATGTGTGCCCCATTTTCTACCCTGAAGGTTTTCGTAGTCTGTTCCAGGTGTGGAAAACATGGACTCTTACCCTGTTGCTCTTGTGATTCCCGTTTCAGGTTTCTCTGGAAACCCCCCTGGTAAGTGTGGAGGCGGCGGCGGCAGGACACTCTGACCCAAGACAAAAGGCCTGTATGTAGCTCCAGCCAAAGAAAATAAACCTTAGGAGAGAGAAGAAAAAAAAAAGCCATCAGCTGTTCCCGAGAACAGCCTGCAGTGGACTCTACGGAGGACAGCTAACGTGGTGAGGAAGTGACTGGATGTGGACTGCGCAGACAGTAAGTCACGTGGGCCCGGAGGGCCTGGACTGGGTTAGGAACAATTGCGCATTCCGAAGTGAGGTGTCCCGAAGGGAAAAGTGAATGTGGTCTGGAGTGTGGCCTTGGCTGCCTGGGGTGCGCTTTCCTCCAGGGCCCTCAGGGAGCTCAGCCCCTGTGTCTGGCCAGGGTGGGGTGCAGGGATTGGCCCTGAGGAGGGTGACTTGCTGGCGGGAGCAGCAGCGCAGTGGCCTTGATTCGTGTGTCCGAAGATTTAAGAACCAAACAGCATAAACATTCTGGTCCTTCAGCAATGCTGTCTCTGAAGAAATACTTAACGGAAGGACTCCTCCAGTTCACCATTCTGCTGAGTCTGATTGGGGTACGGGTGGACGTGGATACTTACCTGACCTCCCAGCTCCCCCCGCTCCGGGAGATCATCCTGGGGCCCAGTTCTGCCTATACTCAGACCCAGTTCCACAACCTGAGGAATACCTTGGACGGCTATGGTATCCACCCCAAGAGCATAGACCTGGACAATTACTTCACCGCCCGGCGACTCCTCAGTCAGGTGAGGGCCCTGGACAGGTTTCAGGTGCCGACAACCGAGGTAAACGCCTGGCTGGTCCACCGGGACCCCGAGGGGTCTGTCTCTGGCAGCCAGCCCAGCTCAGGCCTCACCCTCGAGAGTTCCAGTGGCCTCCAAGATGTGACAGGTCCAGACAACGGGGTTCGAGAAAGCGAAACGGAGCAGGGATTCAGTGAAGAATTGGAGGATTTGGGGGCTGTAGCCCCTCCAGTCAGTGGAGACTTGACCAAAGAGGTTAGTGGTCCCGTGGTGAATGTGGGTGGGGGAGGGGTGGGGGAGGGAGTGGGCTGGTCCTGAGTGGACTGTGGTCTCAGGACTAATTATCCCTTGAAAGAGCCAGGTAGGCTCCAAGGGAGTCGCGTGGGCATTGTTTTTGGATGGGACTGGGCCGAATTCCCCTTGAGGTGAAGCTGGCAAGCTTGGAGCCTTTTCCTGTGTTGAACCATTGACCTACCTCTAAATGGACTGTCAGGGCTGTGGGAGGTTCCTAGAACATGCCAGTGTGTTTACTGCTAGGATTTCAACATGCCTCCTGGAGGCCCAGAGTGGGGGAGGGAATGTGTTGTGATGGGCTTTGGTGCCTTGTGGATCTGTTGCTAAGACACAAATACCTTATGGACTCTTGCCTTGTACTCCCTCCCCCTCCCCCCCATTCCAAACAGGCTCCCAGACCCTGAGGCACTCCTCCTTTGTGGTTAGGCCTGTTGTCCGAGGTCCTGATAAGTCAGTCACCTCTCCTGGGCCTGAGCCAGGGGCTAGATTTGGAGAGTTAGTCCGGGTCTGGAGAGGGCCAAGACCTCATTCTTTGCTGCAGGTCCCCTCCAAGAGAAGCAGGGTGCTGCTGGCTCTGTGCTGCCCTAGCAGGCTTTTCACCTCCGATGTGTGGCTGGTTCCCCGTTTGTGGCAGAATGTTGCATTTGCCTGGGGCCCCTGTGAATGGTTTCTCTTCCTCCTACCCCACGGGCTCTGGCTGGCCTCCCAGCCTTAAGAAGCTTGACTGGATGGCCCCTTGCCTTCTGCTGGCCTCCAGGGAAGAAGGGTGCTGTTCCCAGGGGGTGGGGTGGGGGGTGTGGTGTGTAGAAAAGGCTCCACAGAACTGGCGACTTTGACTCCATGGGCCACCAGGTCAGACTAAGCTTTGCTCCCTCTCTGCATTTGGGCTGCTCCTGAGCTCCGTTTTCATAAGTGTTAGAGCAAGTTAAATAATATGACTTCAGAAGAAAAAAAAAGGACTTCCTCTAGGCTAGTGGTCCTCACCTGGGGGCAGTTCAGGCCTCGGGGACATTTGACATGGACATTTTGGGTTGTGAAAGCTGGCATGTAGTAGGGAGAGGCCAGGCTGTGGCGCTTACAGCTCACAGGTTTGCACGTGGAGATGCAGACCTCCTGCTCCCTGTAAGACACTCATTTAGCTCCAAGTAGTTGGGAAACCATGCTGGGTGTGTGGCTGGGTCCATTTAGAGAGACGGGTTATCTGTGAGGGGTCCTGGGGGCTCAGTGCTTAGGTGCTGGCTTGCCACTGGAAAGATCTGCTGCTGGAACCCACCAGCCACTCTGGGAAAACGACGTGGCCGTCTGTGTCCTCAAAGATTTGCAGCCTTGGAAACTCACCAGTGCAGTCCTTTGTTCTGCAGGGTGGTTGTGATCTGGAATTGATGGCCAGTAGTGGATCGGTTGCTCGAAGGTTTTCTGCCTCAACTTTCAGTGTCCCACCTTGCGGTGCCTCTTCTCCTAGGTCCTTAAACTGCCACTCAGTGCTGTACCCTCGCCATGCCCTTCCCAGGGGCTCCAGTCTGACTTAGCCCAGTGGTCTGAGAAGCACCTCAGATGCTTGCTCTCTCTGGGGTGGGTGGAGCTGGGCCTGCTTCTGGAAGCCTTCTGATTGCTCTTGGTGGGGCCCTCTAAGGGGTTTGGGTGGCCAGATTTGATGGGCTGGGCGATGGCATGAGTTTGTCCATACTTCTGTGTGGCTTTCTGTTGTCCCTTTAGGGTCTCCGGGCCGGCACTGCGCCCTCTAGGGGCTGGGGTGTCTGGATGTGGGGGAAGGGAAGATGATTATGTGTCTAGAACATTTCCTCAGCAACTCGGGGATAAAAATACCCCAGGTCCAGAGCATGTGACAGGCACTGCTGGAGCTGGTATTATCCCTGGGGTGGCGTGCTCCCCCGCCGCTAGGCCTGTTCGATGGGATGGATAGCTCAGGCCCAGCCCTCGTTGGGGATAGGATTCCCCTCGAGGTTGGCACTCAGCCCAGAGCAGGGGGTGGCCCGTTGACAGCTCTCTCCAGGCTAGGAGTTGTTGGGACCCGGGAGAACATGCTGTCTCTGCCCTGACCTTAGGCTCCAGGGGAGCAGGGGCGATGGCGGGGGTGGGGGGGTGGGGGTCAGTGCGGCTCCCTCAGGAGGCCCACTGCTGCCCACACACAGGCCACTTCCCTGCTTTGCAGGGGTGGGCTGGGTTCAAGCAGAGAACAATCTTGAACTACAGGGGAAGGGAGGGGAGGGAGTAAATGCGGAAGTGGAGGACACTGGTGGCATGTTGGGGGCGTGGGTGGGGAGGCCTCAGGCTAGGTCGCCCGCACGTGCGCAGAGGACGTCCCTCACCGTGTTTCTAGTCTGGCTTGTCTTGGGGCGACACTGGTGTCCGGTGGCCTGGGGTACGGGGTTCCCAACCAGCTGGGCTTGAGGCAGGCGGGCACAGCCCCAAGGAAGAACTGGCTAGGGGCGTCCACTCCCGGAAGAACTTCAGAGACGCGGAGGGAGGGGCAGGCTGCGACAAGAGGGAGCGGGGCACCCCTTCCCCCAGGACACTCACTGCACCACCCCGGCTGACTGGCTGGGCTGGGTGGGGCCGCCCGCCCCTGGGTGCATCTCCTCAAGGAGACGGAGGCGGCTCGGGCTGGGCTGCTTCCTGCGGCAGCTTCCCCCGCGGCCCCGGTGCAGCGATTGGCTACCGTCCGCAGCTAGGTAACAGGCGGTGGGAGGGGATTGGCTCCCTGCGCATCTCCAGCGGAGGCTTGGGGGAGGAGATTGGCTCTCGGCGCAGCCTAGGTAACGACAGTGGGAGGGGATTGGCTCTTTCCGCAGCCCAGCTGCTGACCTGGGGGAGGGGATTGGCTCTCTGCAGCCTCAGCAGTGACCTACGGGGGGGAGGGGGTGGGGATTGGCTCCTTGCTGCAGCCTAGGTAACAAGTTTGGGGGGCGTGGGGAGAGGGTGCGGGGGAGGAGCGGGAGGCTAGGCCCAGGAGGGCGCCTTGCTTTTCTCTACAGCCCAAGCCGGGAGCATGGGGTGGGAGTCCCATCTCACTGCAGCCTCTGCGGTGAGCTCAGGGTGGGGGCTGCCGGGTGCCTGAGTGGAACCGGGGTTGTGAGGTGGGAGGGGGCTGCTCAAGGATGGAGGAAGGGGGCTGGGCTGGGCCGCCCAGGCAGCAGCACGGGCGGGGCACCCCCCACGGGCCCCTTGGAGCTAGCAAGGGGCCACCCTTCCATCCTGGCGTGCTCCCTGCAAGCCACGAGCTCCTTGCAGCCCCCTGCCCGGCTCCTTGGCACCGGCTGCCCTGGGGCTCATCTCGCAGACCATGACCCGCCTGGACCGAAGCTCTCACAGTGGTGGGGGCCATGCCAAAGGGAGCCGGCCCCTTAACTCTTTGCTGGCTTGTCACCGGGTGGCCCAGCCCCCCTCTGCTTCAGGGTCCAGGGCTTCCGTTCAGGTTGGTAGACTTGGGGAGACTAGGGAGGTCTTAGCGTCAGGGGGTGATGGTGGGGCAGGGTTCTTGGTTAGGGTTAAGGAGGTGGGTCCAATGAATGCTTTCTGGAAAGTGCCTGCTTTTTAACGCTGGAATGGGAGACAGTTTGGTTTGTTCAGGCTTTAGGGGAGGGCTCAGCCACAGGCAGCCTGTACAGGAAACCCAAAGGGGAGTTTGGTGCTGGTGGCGATTTGGGGTGGTGGTTGGTGCAGGAAATGATCAGGAGCCACTCTGGTAGACCTGGAGAGAGGCCGTTTGGTGCCTGAGGCTGCAGTCAACGCCTGAGGAGTGATGCAGGTTGTACCCTTGGGTGGGTTGCTGCCTGGGAGGTGGGAAGCCCTAGGGTGTGTGGTAGGAAGAGTACTGGCTTAGGGGACACTGGGGCTGCCTGGCAGGGTGGGGTGGCCAGCCGGATCATCTGACTGCCTGAGGCTCTCCTGGGAGGAGGCTGCTCACTGGCATCTGCTGAGAATGGGAGTTCTGGCAGGGCTGGCTCTGGAGGTGAGCCTGGGCTGGACGAGTTGTGGGTGTTCTGTCTCACCCCTGTGCTGGCCAGGCAAGGGGAATGGCTGGAGGGAGGGCTGGTGAGAGCTGGGCACTGTCATTGGTTGCAGCAGGTGGTTGGAAATGCAGGGATTTTCCTTTCTAGCCCACCCCACCCCTTTATGCAAATTAAATGGCACCATTGGCTGATGCAAGCCTGGCCACTAAGAAGCAATTCTGCATGACAATTTGCCCCTGCTTGCCCTGGCCAGCTCCCCACAAACATTTCTTAAGGGGCTTATTCCTAAAATGAAAAGTGGCTCCTGCTACCTTCTTCCTTCTGAAGCAAGGGTGAGGTAGCCCTGATTTCTGTCCTGGGTGTGCCTCGAGTCAGAATCCTAAGCCTGCAGACCTCTATGGAGATGGACATGATAGCGGATTTGGCTAGTGGCTCATTTCTTTGGGGTGGTGTCTGGAAATGGATGAGTGAGGCCTCCCTGGTGCAGAGGGGCGGGGGCAGGGCTGGAAGAGGCTCCTCCCTGGCCTAGCTGGAGTGACAGGGAGGAGGGACCTCTGAAGAGCAGGACAGGGAGGGGCCCTGGGACCCCAGAGTAAAGTCGTAATCTGTCTTTCAGGACATAGATCTGATTGACATCCTTTGGCGACAGGATATTGATCTGGGGGCTGGGCGAGAAATTTTTGACTATAGTCATCGCCAGAAAGAGCAGGATGTGGACAAGGAGCTTCGAGATGGAGGCGAGCAGGAGGACACCTGGCCCAGCGAGAGTGCAGAGGCTCTGGCACCGAACCTGCTAGTGGATGGAGAGACGGGGGAAAGCTTCCCTGCACAGGTACCACCACCTCCACCCACAGGCTCCGTCCTCTGTCCCCCAAAACACAAGTGGGGGTGGAGCTCTTCTAGGAACGGCGCCCTCAGGAACGCAGCAGGCTGTGGCTGTGGAGCAAACTGGACTGTGTTCTGTGCTGGTGTCTGTGGGTCACGGAGATTGGACTGGGGGACAGGGTGTACTTTGAGCAGCAGGGGTGAGGCTGGACCCTGGCAACAGCACAGGGGGCAAAGCCTTTGGCGTCTTCCTGCCTGCTAAATAACTCTTACACCTCCCTCCTGTCCCCTGGGAGTTTACGACACGGGGCCAGCTGTTGTCCCAGGAATAGGAGGGAGTTTATAGGGAACCAAGGCCCAGGTCAGGCAGACTCACAGGTGCCTGGTGGGGAGGACTAGACGGGCCTGCCCCTGGCAGAGTGACTTAGGCTGCTGGAGGCCGCTTGGGGCTTTGGGGAGAATGCCAAGATGAGCAGGACTTAAGGGAAAACCCTGTAAGCAGGGCCACCTCCACCTGGTGTGTCCATGTCCACCGCTGGCTGTCCAGGCTGCTGGGTGAATCAGGCAGGACAGTGCAGCAGAGCCAGGGTTGACTCGGGCAGGTAGTGGTTTTCCTTCTTCCCTGTGAAAGCCTCTCTTTTGACCTCAGTTCCCAGCAGACGTTTCCAGCATAACAGAAGCAGTGCCTAGTGAGAGTGAGCCTCCAGCTCTTCCGAACAACCTCCTGTCTCCTCTCTTGACGGGGACGGAGTCGCCATTTGACTTGGAGCAGCAGTGGCAGGATCTCATGTCCATCATGGAAATGCAGGTAGGACTATGGGAACACAGCTGAACACGTTCCCTGGCCCCCCCAGGTTTTGTTTTCCCTCCTCTGGGAAGAGTAACACTGCTCTGCCTGATTCAGAGATCCATGGGTCTCTTTGGGGCTGCAGGGTGGGGTCGGCTCACTTTCTGAAGCAGGTCCTGCCACCCAGGTAAGCTTTCTTACTTCCAGGTGTTTCCAGGGCTTGGCATTAATTTTAGCATTGGTTCCCCTAGCGCAGGGCTTGGCAAGCTTTTTGACACAATCCTGTCCCTCACAACAATTTAGAAATTATTTGAGAGCCATAAATGCATTTTCCCAAAAATGACATCACCATTATCTGAATAATATCCTTTAAACGTTTTCCATTTTACTTCAAAGCCACTTGTATGTACTGAAAGAGCCAGTTTGCCAACCCCTGCCCTAATGCTTGATGGTCAGTGGCCACGGTCTTCTCACTGACAGGCCTCTAATTGGCCCGTGTTGCTTTCTGTGCATCCCAATTCCAAGTCTGGGTCTTCTCCTCAGTGCTGCTCGTGCAGTCAAGAGGTAGTTGTGTGTATGTTCCCATTCCCGTGTGCTGGGGTCAGGAGCTGACCCTGCGGGCTTTGGTTTCTAGTGTCTTCTGACTCCCGTCCAACCAGGGCTTTGTTAGGAGCCTGCTAAGTGTGAACCTGCCCCATCCACACCCGAGAGGGGAGTCTGCTCTCCAGACTCCAGAACAGTGATCCTCTTCTCCCCTCCCAGGCCATGGAAGTCAACACGTCGACCAGTGAAATCATGTACAATGCCCCTTCTGGAGACCCACTGAGCACCAACTACAGCCTTGCCCCCAACACTCCCATCAATCAGAACGTCAGCCTGCATCAGGCGTCCCTCGGGGGCTGCAGCCAGGACTTCTCCCTCTTCAGCCCTGAGGTGGAGAGCCTGCCTGTGGCCTCCACACTGCTCCCTTTGACCCCCAGTAATTCCACCAGCCTCAACTCTACCTTTGGCTCCACCAACCTGGCGGGGCTCTTTTTCCCGCCCCAGCTCAATGGCACCGCCAATGACACTGCAGGCCCAGAGCTGCCTGACCCCTTGGGGGGCCTGCTGGATGAAGCCATGCTGGACGAGATCAGCCTCATGGACCTGGCCATTGAAGAAGGCTTTAACGCCGGGCAGGCCTCCCAGCTGGAAGAGGAGTTTGACTCCGACTCAGGCCTCTCCTTGGACTCGAGCCATAGCCCATCCTCCCTGAGCAGCTTGGAAGGCAGCACTTCCTCCTCATCGTCCTCGTCCTCGGCTTCTTCCTCAGCTGCCTCCTCCTTTTCCGAGGAAGGGGCTGTTGGCTACAGCTCTGACTCTGAGACCCTGGATCTGGAAGAGGCAGAGGGGGCTGTGGGCTACCAACCCGAGTATTCCAAATTTTGCCGCATGAGCTACCAGGATCCATCTCAGCTCTCCTGTCTGCCCTACTTGGAGCACGTGGGCCACAACCACACGTACAACATGGCGCCCAGTGCCCTCGACTCTGCTAACCTGCCGCCCACTAGCACCCTTAAGAAGGGCAGTAAGGAGAAGCAGGCTGACTTCTTGGATAAGCAGATGAGCCGGGATGAGCACCGAGCGAGAGCCATGAAGATCCCTTTCACCAATGACAAAATCATCAACCTGCCTGTGGAGGAGTTCAACGAGCTGCTGTCCAAATACCAGCTGAGCGAGGCCCAGCTGAGCCTCATCCGAGACATCCGGCGCCGGGGCAAGAACAAGATGGCAGCGCAGAACTGCCGGAAGCGGAAGCTGGATACCATCCTCAACCTGGAGCGGGATGTGGAAGATCTGCAGCGGGATAAGGCGAGGCTGCTGCGGGAGAAGGTGGAATTCCTCCGCTCGCTGCGGCAGATGAAGCAGAAGGTCCAGAGTCTCTACCAGGAGGTATTTGGGCGGCTGCGTGACGAGAACGGTCGGCCCTATTCTCCCAGCCAGTACGCGCTCCAGTACACCGGGGATGGCAGTGTCCTCCTCATTCCCCGCACGCTGGCTGACCAGCAGGCTCGGCGGCAGGAGAGGAAGCCAAAGGACCGGAGGAAGTGAGCCTGGGGAGGAAGGGGTTGACGCTCACCAAGACCGAAACTGGAGAAGGGCTGGGCCTGAACCTGGACCGATAGTGGGGACTTTACTGCCTTCTTAGCCAATATATCTTCTCAGATGGGATGACTGCGGGTCAGTACATAGAGGAGAGGCGGGCACAGGTGGTCTGGCTCAGCTTCCCTCATGAGGGGCGTGTGGAAGTGGCCCTCAAAAGGAAGGGGTGGTGCTGCCTTCAGTTGCCCAAGGTGGAGGAGCTGCAGGGAACAGCGGCTGGTGGGAAGGAGGGGACTGGGGAGAGGAGGAGGAGGGGACGGGAGTAGAAAGTAGAAGGAAGGAAGGAAACCCTCTCAAAAAAATCAAAGCGGGAAGAAAACCAAGAGAAGGCTTTGGCCAGGATTCCAGGCAGCAGTTTTTAGTGACTTGGGTGGGACTAGGTTATTGGTGGGAGTGAACCCCATTTCACCCTGGGGAGGGTTGAGACACAGACATTGGGGGTGGGAGCGAAGGGCTTGGTAGCTCTTTCTGCTTCCTGAACTTTGGTGTCCCTGAAGGGGAATTCAGATGTCCCGTTAATTTTCAGTAGGGTGGGGGCCCAGTGCTGGCTTTGAGGTTGAGGGTCAAAGGGGCAGTGAACAGGAAAGGGTCACAAGGCCTTAAATTGCTGCAGCCCTAACACCAAGCATGTCACTCACTGCCCTGCCTCGCCCATTGCCCTCTGCTCCAGCCCTCGAGGGAGCCTCCTGTCTCCATCCAGCCTGCATGTGAATGCTGTACTCTTCCCCACGGACCCCACTGCTGCCTCAAGCTGAATAGTGGGCTTTTGGCAGTGCCTCCTTACTGGGTTTGTGTTCCAACCCAGGTCCCCCTCCTCTGTGGAGGCGGGTAGGGGATGAGGTGGCAAGGAGGCCAGAGCAAAAGCCTCCAGGCAGTATTCAGCACAACACTGGGGAGTGACCCTTTCCTCAGGCCTCCCCCTCCGAACTGGGCTTGTCACTGAAAAAAACCCTCCTCAACCCAGCAACAACAAATCTAGTCCTCTTAGGATTTCTTGCGCTTTGATTTTTTTTTTTTAGGGCTTGAGCTGTTTCTTATAGGGTCTAGAATGCTTGTGTTAAAAAGGAGATGCCCCAATATTCAAAGCTGCTAAATGTTCTCTTTGCCATAAAGACTCCGTGTAACTGTGTGAACACTTGGGATTTTTCTCCTCTGTCCCGAGGTCGGTCTGCTTTCTTTTCTGGGTTTCTTTCTAGGAGACTGAGACGCACATGTCACCATGTCACGGAGGTGGAGTGCACCCCTCCCCCAGGTGCTCCACTCTGGGGAAGGTGGGGTGGGAGCAGGCAGGAGCTCCAAGGTGGCTGGCTAGCTGGTTCCAGGAGTCCTGTGTCTAGCTGCCACCACTGCAGGTCCTGCCTGGCCTTGGAAAACTCTGCCCAAGCTGAGCAGGAGCGAGTGGAAGGGAAGCACTTACTCTTCTCCCCTTGTGGGCTGTTCTCACTGAGCAGCAGGGCCAGGAGGCTCGCCCGAGCAGGGCAGTGCTTTTATAAATTATTTTCCTTGTAGATTTTATTTTTAATTTATCTCTGTGACCTGCCAGGGAAAGGAGATCAGAGGAGAAGAGAGATGCTGTGAGCACATGACAAAATAAAATAAACAGACGATTCATTCTCAGTGCACTGTTTCCCTGTGTTTTGAGTTTCACTTGGTGGGAAGGAAGCAGGCCCCGTGTGGCTAAGGCAGAGCTTGTGGGAGGGTGGGTAGAGAGCCAGGGAGGTTGACAAGAGGACTCTCGGGAAAGGTGATAGGTTTCTGATACTGTACTGAGCCTCTGTAGTCCTCAGAGCCTGCTAGGTGCTCCAGCACCTGGCCTAGCTCCAGGCTAATGACTGAAATTGTATGCAGAAGAGAAAACACAGGCATAATGTTATTTAATTGATTTTTGTAACCCAGAGATGTGCCTGTATGTATGTTTGAGTACAGAACTAAGATATATATATATACACACACACACACACACACCTTTTTCTTGTTTTGCCCCACGCCTCAACAGTGATAAAGACTTGTCAAGAAATTCCTTTTCCTCTTGGTTAGTGTAGGGAAGTCTTTCTGCTGCCCATCCTGCCCCTTCCAGAGGTGGACAGTTGTTTCAGGACTCATACTGGTTGGCTGGGGCTCTGGGCCAAGTTGGTCAGCACTATGTGGAGCTGACCTCTTTTTTGCTGCTGGCAGGTTGAGTGGGTGTTCCCAGCTCGGGGCACTTGCTGGCAGGAACTCTAGGCCTATGATAGGGCTACCACCACTCACCCACCCACCTAGGACAAGGGAACAACTGAGTTCCTGGGGTGAGTCCCAACTAAAGGAGCAAGCTCTTCAGGGTGACCGCTGTGGCTAGGACTGTGTGCTGGGCTTAACTTCAGCCATAGGCTCTGTAAACAGCCAGCCTCAGCAACCCAAAGGAGTTCTACTCTGTGTGTGTGTGTGTGGTGCGCTGTGAATCAGAATTAACTTGACGGTACAGTGTTAGTGTGCCTTAGAACCCTAAAGGCCCATTCTCTGTCCATTGGGATTGCCGAGTCGAGGGCTCTTAAAACTCTTCTAACGATCCACACACCAGTTTTATCAAGCACATCTGTACATACGTTGCTATCCTTTTCTAGACATTTACCTTTTATTGAGCCCTTGGTACAAATATGTTTCTGTACTGATGCAAACACAAGTACTAGGTTGGTACCTGGCTCTTCAGAAGTTATTTCCCCAATTGAATGGAGAAATTCTCTAGCAAAACCCACAAGTTTGCTTAAGCCCTGTTTTCATCATACACCTTCGGCTTGTCATTTGTCACTGTACCAAGGATAGTAAGTCTTACCTTTCTTTCTGATCACACGGAGACCACGGCTCTCCTTGTCCCTAAGGCGGAGAAGTAGCACATGGGACTTGTGAAACGGAACACGTGGTCTGAGTTCTAGCCCTGTTACGTGCAGCATGTCTTGTACAGTTTGTCTGCGCTGCACAATCTAGTGCATGTGTCCCTGGGGCAGTGAGAGCAGAGGACCTTGTTAAAGCCATGCTCAAAATCAGTTGGACTGAAGCTCACCATTTTTGACTTAAGGAAACAAAGACGCCAACAAAGGTCCTGGAGAATGGAGACAGCAAAACCAAACGAAACTCACTAGCCACTGAGTCAACGCTGACTTGGCAACTCCCTGGATTTCTGAGGCTGTTTATGGGGGTAGAAAGCCCAGTCTTTTTTTCCACAGGGGTGCTGGTGGTTTCAAACTGCTGCTGCTGAGGGTCTCAGCCCAACTTGTAACCAATACCCCACCAGGGCTCCTCACGGAATTCCAGATGCTCTTAGCAACCAAGAAAACAAAATATAGTTCACTCAGAGGTGGAGGAAGACCAAGCAGTTGGAGCGCTGCCTGTTCTCAAACACAATTAGGCTAATTTGGCTGACTTAAACCTTCTGGTCCTCAGCTCAAGGCTAAGGAAGCAATTGAAACAACGGCCTAGTGCCCCAGCCTGACCCTAGACTATGCAAACAGTAAAACTGGGCAGGCTTGGTCAAAGTCAACAGTGGTTAGAGAAGTAAAAACACTCAGGCCATCACGTTGATTCTGACTCACAGCAATCTTAACAGGGCAGAGCTAAACGGCTTCTGTGCGTTTCCAGAGCTTTGCGTCTACGGGAGTAGAAAGCCGCCTCATTCATCTACCAAGCAACTGATGGATTTGAACCACTCACCTTGTTAGCAGCCCACTTCATCACCCACTAGGCTGCTAGGACGCCTTCAGGGTTTGTTAGGTGTCGTCAAATTGGTTCAGACTTAATAGTGACCCTGTGTACAACAGAACAAAACACAGCCCACTCCTGCATCGTTCTCGGCATTGTTGTGGTTGAGCTCACTGCTGCAGCCACCATTTCACTCCATCTCCTGAATCTTTCTCTTTCACGGAGCCAACCAACCATGATGTCCTCCAGGGACTAATAACAACGTGCCAAAAAGTGCATAAGACAGTCTTAGCATCCTTGAATCTTGGGTACGTTTTGGCTATACTTCCAAGCAGATTTGTTCCTATTTTTGGCAGTATATGTAACGTTCTCTGCCAAAAACCTAATTCAAAGACTCTGGTCTTCCTTATTCACTGATCAGCTTTTGCGGTGGCTGAAAGGAACCCTGGTGGACAGTGATTAAAGTGCTTGCCACCAACTGGAATTGGCCATTTGAATCCGTGGGAGAAAAAAGTGACAGTTATCATTACCTGGGTCAAGGTGCTCCTTGTCCTCAAAATGACACCTTTGTTTTTAAACTTTAAAAGGATTTTTATATCTTTATCACATTTGTCCAATGCAGAACCTCATTTGATCTCTTGACTGCTGCTTCCATGGTCATTGGCTGTGGATCCAAGGATCCTGCTTATTGACCCAGATGTGAGGAATTTTGTTTCTGCTGAGTAATCCATACTGAAGGCTAGTGTTTGATCTCCGTCAGTTCAGTCCTTCAAGTCTCCTTGCAGTCAGCAGGCAAACTGTCACCTGCGTACCACAGGTGGTTAATGAATCTTCTCCCCAATCCCTGATGCACAGCTTTCCCAATCAGAGTCCACCTTAGATTGTTTGCTTAGCTCCAGATTGAATAAATATGGTGGCTTATTCACAGGCAGCCGTCCCGATTATAAACCACACGCTATTCCCTGTGGACTGCCTCTATGTGTTCTGTAATTCCTTGAATTAGTTATCCATGAAGTTGAATGCCTTTAGAGAATCGACAAATGATAAACATTTCTGGTATTCTCTGATTTCAGCCAAGATCCTTATGACACCAACAAGCATATCTCATCCCATGCCCTCTTCTGAATGAATCTTGGTCGAACTCCTGGCAGTTCTCTGATGCGGTAACCATATTTGGATTTTCTTCAACAAACTTTTACTTATGTTATCTGGGTAAACAGTACCTTGCCAATGTCTTCATAAGCTGCCATATAAATCAACAAGGTGGCAGTGCAGACCCAGTCCTGCCGTTGAAGATTTTCAACACAAGCAATGAAACACAGCAAAACCATAGAAACAGAATTGTCACTGTATATGCTAAACAGTTTCTGCCTGCCTTCACACTTTCACCCTCTCCCTGGTTTAACTACTGGGGGTGGGGGTGCAGGGGGCGGGGGTGGGGAGGAAGGAGCCTTATGGAGGGACCACTCTCCTTGAGTTCCCCCTCACCCCACCGTCCAGCAGAGCCAACTATGTTTTTCATCCTAGCAGCATAGTTTAATTTCATTAGCTTTCAGCAAACACATGGAATCTATTCAGGGGACAATCACAAGGCCAAGGATGATTAAAAGTCATCCACGAGACTTAAACAACATTGCAGTTAGTTAGCACGTTGCTAGGAAAGCAATAACCTTTAAAGGAAACCTCAGTGCTGGTCACAGTCAATCCCGAGAGAAGTGCAGCTTCAGAGATGGGTAATGGGAGTTTTGAGCCCCTAAGCTCCTATCAAAGCTCATTAATTTACCAAGACCCCTCTGCCTGATCACTGCTTGCTGCTAAAAACAAGGTGAAGCAAGAACTGAACTGGATACTCACCTGATGGTGATGGTCTCTCTCCATATATGGTGGGTTGACTCTCCTCCGGAGTCCAGACTTGGTTTAGTAGCACGAATTGGCTCTAAAAATTTAAATTGGGGGTAGGGAACCTTCCTTTTGCCAAGGGCCAGTTGGATGCTTATAATATCCGTGGTCCCTAATGGTTAGACATTTAATTAACTCATCTTTGGTGAGATGTGTGATGTTGGCTGGTACTGATTTTGAAGGCCTTAAACCGCCCAAGGGTTGGATATTCCGTTTTAAATCACATGCTCACTCGAAGACCAATGTGGACTTCATTAAACGGATCAGACTATTGATTTCAGATGGAACTCTGCTCCAGTTCAGGATCTGCAGCTACAAAGGTAAGCAGGAAGCATGCCACTAGGGTTCCAGGTGATACACCAGATTTACTCCACACACACGTGGTAAGATGGGTTTCTGGAATCAACGGGTGGCTACGAATCTTCTCAGTAATACACTGGACTTAGTTCTGTCTGAGTGCCTGTAAAAGTATGTATGGTTTTGCTGGGCTGGGGGGAACTTAACAATGTTAAGCTCAGGGTACATATCGAACTTTTCATAAAACTCAAGTTGGAATCTTCCTCAATCATCGATACTTGGATGAGTTTACAGAACTAGGGCCCACATAAAGCAAGTGTTTACATAGTGTTTTAAGGAAGACTGGGAAGATCTCAGAGGAGCCGAGGGAAGACTTGTCAGCTTCAATGAGTGAAGAAGTTTCTGGAGAACTCCAGAAACTGGTGGAAGACTGTAGAATTATCACTGATTTGATAATTTCTGGGATCTCACACGATTCAGCATTTTTCAATTTTCAGCAAGCCCCCTGGCCTCAGCAAGCTTTCATCCTGATGGGGGAAGTCTTCATTTTATCAAGATCGAAGCTAACGAAGATAATCTGTAGAATGAATCCTAACTGGGGGCAAGACTTCGGTCCAATCCAAAGAGCAGCTTCTGAGGGGCTCTGCTGAATCAGCTCAGTTCCTGGCAGTGCGGTCGGCTCACAGGGCATGACTGCTTTGTTGGGTTCAAAGAGTTAATCTGGATAGTTTTCTGTAACGGAGATGTTCGATCAAAGGGACTTAATTATAGAGCTTCACAAAATGGTAAACTACACTGGGGAGTAAAGGCCAGGGAAGTTGCCCGGAGGAGCTTTTTGCCATGACCATGCTCCTGCTCATCCTCCAGGGCAGCAAGGGCTGTCCTATGGAAATCTTGGCAAACTTCACCCCATCCATTCTCCAGCCCCTGAACTTGCCCCTTCCAAGGTTTCTTTTTGACCCTCAAAGTATAATTTGAGTCCCTCAAGGATGCTAAAACTGCTGTTTTGATGTGGTGTAAGTCAAGGAACGCAAAGTTCGGGGGTGGGGGTGGGGGCAGAGATGGAAACACTGCTTTCAGAAGTATATTTGACCTAAATGGAAGAGATTGAGAAACAATATTTGCATTTTTAAACTTTGGGTTTATAGCCATACTTCTTGACTTACCCATATATTTCAGAAAGGGCCAGCTTTTTTTTCCTTCCACCTTTGAATTTTAGAGGTCTGGTTCTACCAAACTGAGTAGCTATTTATTATTTTCTCTTTGACTATGAGGTAGTAACTGCATTGCAATACAGATTCCCACAGCCAAGGGTCACTGATGGCAAAAATGTGCTGCGCACACAGAGCTAAGGGTTAAGATCAAATTGAGCTGAGCATAAACCGGACCATCACAGGAGTTCTGGAATATAAATTATGTTTCTGACACTAAACAGAAGCAGCAAGGGATCTGACCAACTTGGTCAGTAAAAGACATTAAGTAATGATGCTGTCATAACTTGTTAGCAAGTTTTCTAGTAACTGAAGTGGAAAGCTATCTCCTCTTCAATGACCAGGCTGGAGGTCCATGGTGGTGACGCAGTTTCACCAAAGCCATCTAGTTTTTACCTTGCCTGCCCAAAGAAATGCTCTCTGAATACGTTTCAAATCAACCAGAAGAACCAACATGGCTGTTTTATTTCTAGTGTTTCTGCACACATCTCTGATTCAACAATTAAGTTAAACCTCGCATCTCCAACAAACAAAAACAAACATCAAACTCACTGACCATTGAGCCTATTCTGACTCCACGAGAACCTACAGGAACAGAACAGTAGTGACCCTGTGGGTTTCTGAGACTGTCACTCGCTAAGGGAGTAGAAAGAAGTCCTCTGTGATAATTGGCTCCTAAAGATAACAAAACTGAATGCTGTTCAAAGTCCATTGTGTGCATAATCAATTTCATCACCCTCCCTTTATATATGTTTGTTTTATTCTAACAGTGCAGGAATGCCAGAAATAACAATAAAGGACTCTAAAGGGTAAGGCGAATGCTGAGTAGCAGCCTTTTCTGGATAAATGCTCCAGGTGCAGTCCACTCTCAGCACATCTCCTCCAACCTGCCTATGTGGCTGACTGCTGTGCACCTGCCAAGGTGGCATACAGGCCTCTCTGTGACCCAGCCTT